TTCATTCTAAATTACGCATGTTGTCTTAAACACGTTAATGTTAAACAACTTTTAAAAAATCTGTTACAATCATTTCCTGGTTTATTCTTTTTTTTTTTTTTTTTTTTTAGACGGAGTTTCGCTCTTGTTACCCAGGCTGGAGTGCAATGGCTCGATCTCGGCTCACTGCAACCTCCGCCTCCTGGGTTCAGGCAATTCTCCTGCCTCAGCCTCCTGAGTAGCTGGGATTACAGGCACGCGCCACCATGCCCAGCTAATTTTTTGTGTCTTTAGTAGAGACGGGGTTTCACCATTTTGATCAGGATGGTCGCAATCTCTTGACCTCGTGTTCCACCCGCCTCGGCCTCCCAAAGTGCTGGGATTACAGGCTTGAGCCACCAAGAAAACCTCTAGTATTGTTTTCCTGTTGCAAAAAGCCTAGGAATCAGCTGAGAAAAAACTAAATTCCCATTAAAGAGTAGAATTGAATAATATGTTCTTAAAAGGATGCTGGAGTGATGATGGGGTAAGACTGGAAATACTGATAGAAAAACTATGGTTCCCATCATTATTTCAGTTTTTATTGGTCTATTGGATTCTGTGGTCTTTTAAAAATTTCACTCTTATTGCACCTAATAAAAAAGATTTAGTAAATGCTCAAATTTTATTTCATTGACAAATTTGATGATTTAGTAAGTTGTATTTGGGACCACCCGAGAAGGCAGAATCAGCTTAAGTTGTCCTTCTTTAGCTATAGATAGTTTTTACCCTTTAAACTTCATGATTATATATCGGCTTTTGAATTTCAAAGAGGATGTGGGATAAAGGAAAACTTAGAAATTCAACAGGACAGTCATAATAGTCACACCATCCTACTCAAGCAATGTGTAAAATGAATCATGGCAGCCAAAGTTTAAACATGTTCTATTAGCAGTAACCTACATCATCACCTTTGTCAGTCTTATTTCTTAGTTTCAGAGACCAAAAATTCACAATACTTATGTAGTCTTATTAGATCTCCAAAGTTAATTTTATTACCAATTTTTTTTTAAAGATACATTATTCAGGAAAGTCTTTAACATTCTTCACGTGTATATCAGTGAGTTTTTTTTCTTGAGCATATAAAAATGTATTTCTTAATACCTTTCTACTCTTTTTCCACTTTTTTTCTATGAATTCCTGATACTGAGGTTTATTTTATTATTATTAGAACTCTCATTTCTTTAGGCTGTTTAAGTGCAGTTCTGTAAAGGCATATTCTCAGAAACTCAGTGAACTTTTGTTCAAGGCCTGCAAGATCCTTCCGGAGATCTTCTTTGAACAATGTATTGCTTAGGCCAAGAGAGTAAGATATAACCCCCTTTTGCTCTTCTTAATTCCAGCAATCTGAAGACAATTCCTGCTACAGAATTCCCAGGAAATACCTTTACCAAAGACATTATTTAGCTGGATGGCTTACCTTAATTTGCTTGTCTAGTTATGTGTTGTCCTGTTGGACATCTCGTTTCTCTATGTCTTATCAAATATCTCTCTGTTTGTGTGTGTGTGTGTGTGTGTGTGTTTGTGTGTAAATGCAGCACATCAGTTTGTGACACAAATGTTAAAATAGTTATTCTTGTAGAAACCAGAAAAAAACGGTAATAGGAACAAAGTTTTTTCCCTCTGCAATGTAATATTCTTGAGACTTCACTATTTTCAACCATCAATTTTATCTCTGAGTTGCATTTTTCCCTAATTGATCTATGTGTAGATTCTGTCTCTTAACTTTATTGTGAGCTTCAGGAGGGCAGATATTATTTATTTCCAAACATTTACTGAGTAATAAACAATGAGGATACAAAGATGAATAAAAGAGAGTTGATGCCCTCAAAAAGCTTACACTCAAGGTGGAGAGATATGCATGTGCATAAACAGCTATGATATAGAGATCCATTTGTGGATAAATTGTTAGAGAGCAAGGAGTATAGAACAGCTGATTTCCTAGGGTAGGGCTTCGGAATGGATATGTGAGTCAGAAAGACTCTACCAAAAAGGATGAAATGAGGCATAGTCTGAAAGAATCAATGAGACTTCGCCAAGAAGCATGAGGCATGTTTTAGGAACAGGATAAAAGCTAAGACAGAGCAAGGAGTTATACACAAATACAATGTGGTACTTCTACCATAAAGTTTTGTCTGGCTAAACTTAAGGATTTTTTAATTAGGAGAGATACATGATCAGAATCATGTATCAGAGCAATACATTTGGTGGCAAGATGGCTAGAAAGAATGCTGGATAAGGCAGGTCATTGAATTATAACAGATAAGTAATGATTTAAAGGATTGAAGTGCAGATAAAAAGAGGGTAGTTTCAATAAATAGTGAATAATTAGAGTCCATTGACCAAAAACAAACAAACAAATCAGAGGAAGAAGAGCTAAAAGAGCTCCAAGAATTTTGATTTAAGGCCAGTGGAAAATCAGTGCTACCATGATCCGAAATCTGCAGCATATGAGGAAAAGCAGGTTTGAAAATGAGTTCATGGATTTAGTATTAGAATACTAAATTTTAAATTTTTTTTAGCGATCCATGAGGTGTGACTGCTGGGCTTGAGATCAAGATGTGAGATTCACCATAGGGAATGTAGCTGCTGATGTGGGAGTGGAAGAAGTCATCTGGAGAGAGAGATTAGTGAAGAGGAATGAGAATGGAAACCCAGGGAACCATTAAACTTGGTTGGGAGGTAGACAAGGAGGAACCAGTCTTAGGAGAGTGAGAAGGTGTCAGAGAGAAAGGAACAAGAAATCACTAAAGACACCTGGAAGAAAAAGGAAGGCGAATGAAAAATCTTTTAAATATTCCATGGTGAACCAGATTAACTGTCATTGAGTAGGCTAATAAAACATACAATGGGTCATGTCCCATTGTATTTGGGGATAGATATATTTGTTTAGGTGTAATTCAGAGAAGTAAAGCAAGACTGGGATTTTACTCATACATGGCTGCTATTGAGGGGAACTAGTGATATCATTAACGTTTATCCAAGAGTGTAATGGAACATAGAACTTTACAACATCCCAAGATAATCTTGCCCATCTGTGAACGTCTAGGTTCTTTGTTGGTGCCCAGATATGTGAAAACTACCCCTGTAAAGAAATGAGTACTACTGGATCTGAGTACATAGCAAGCAAACATGGGGAGATTGTGGTCATAGAGTAAGCGCATATTCATACATAATGGAAGTTCTATCCTTGATAGAACCCTGACATTTTTTTGATATATGTTGATTCTATATAGTCAAAAAAGACTTCATTATGCAGTGATACCCTCTCATACTAGTATTAATTAAAAATATAAAAGAAATCAATTTGATTTAAGGTAAATCTGACCCTCTGAATCATCATCACCTTTTAATTTTGACATTGGTCAGAGATTCAATGGAAATAACAGAGTCAATGAGCTACTAAAGATGTCATTGACAAGGAGAAAAATTTTACTGGAAGCCAAATTGCAAAGAATAAGAAATAAGGAGGAGAAGAAGCACGAAAATTGGAGTATACATTACTATTTTGAGAACATAAGTAATGAAGCAAACGGGAGATGGAAAACTTGAGCACATTTGTGAAAAATGGTAAAGTCAGTAAAGGAAAAAGGATAATTAATAGATCTCCTGTTAAAGTCAGAATAAAATTGTTTCAAAACATCAAATGAAGGAATAAATCTTAGCCAGAAGGTGGGAAGCTTCCTCTGTCCCCAGGGACATAAAAAGAGAATGCTGTGCAGCACTTATGTTCAGACTGAGGTTGCAAACAATGAATAAGCATTGTTTTAAACTTTTTACAGTCATCCAGAAGACAAGCAAAGAGAAACGAGATGGTCTAATTGATTTTGATGGGGCAGAGATGGCAGAAAGGCAAGAAAATGTGGCACCTGAGGAACACCTAGGAGAAAGATGAACAGTGGATTCTAGACTAGGACTAGGACTAGGAGGAAGGTTGCTGAGGAAGCATCCATATTAATCCAGTCAGAAAGATGTGTTGCAAATTAGGAAGTTAATAGGTTATAGTCATATAATTTTGTTAATTTTGACTTTAGTATTAAAGATGAAAAGGATCCCAAATCCCCACACCTAAACCACAGATACAAGAAATATACAACGAGAAGAGACACTAGAGGCTCTGTAACTTGTTTCACTGGCTGGCATTATTTTGGTCCCAAAACCTATGTAGTGTTTTATCCTTGCAATCTGAGTAAGATGAACTTACATCCCCTTTTGCTCTTTGAGCTGTAGAACTTGCCTGGATTCAGGCTAAGTGCAGTTTGACGCCTACTTTCTCCCAAGCTCCACCTGGGTCTCTGGTCATTACTGCCTGTATGTGATAAAGATAAAATGATGGAAAGAGAGAAAAACTAAGATAAAAGAAGATAAGCTCTCTTTGCTGCTCTACCCTAAAATGTTACCCTTAATGCAGTAAAACCATGGGCATCTGTGAGGACTGCATTTTGTTCCTGACTCATTTCAAAGCCTTGCAGTGGAGTGGGCAGGGTGGGTACATCAGGAAGCCTTGAATTTCTGATCAGATCTAAAGTGGTGGGGATGCAGGTGGGTGGAAGAAAAGGATCAAAGTCATGTAGAAACTTATTTTAAGACAAAGAGTGTTTGTGTGTGAATGTGTCTTTGTGTGGAGGGGTAGAGGGTGGGTGCTGTAAAACCTTTCCAAGAATTCTGATAAACACCTGTCTTTCTCCTGACTAAAAATCATCTCCCTGCAGATGAGCAAGTAAGAACCATAGGCATAGTATTGGGGGTTAAGGTCTAAGAGGTGGGATGGTTCTGATAGTTGACAAAGACCAAGAAGGGGGCTACTTGAGTGGAATGGAGTTGAAAATGATTATTGTAAAGGCCAGGAAAGAGTGAACCTGGAGTCCTAGCTTTGTCCACTGCAGGATGACTGAGGCATTGAATTTCTCTTTTATCACCTGCAGCACTCTCTAACACCAAGTACATAGTGTTAATTGAATAAATACTCTTAATAGACTGTGTACATTTCAGAAAAATGTGTTACTTTTAATTATCAATTATGTGAGCATGCAACATTGATAAATACAAAAGTCATACAAGCTCACAAATGACTTCAGAGACTGCCACCCTTATAATTAAAGAACAATTTAGGGTCTATTAAGACATCATAAATCATAGATCCTTTCTTATTTTCACTTGATGATTACACATTTTCTCTCTACTACTACTATGGGTTTCACGTAGAAGCTTTGCTACCCGGCAGTTACATTTCTTTATCCATTATTTTTTCCCTGAAGAGAAACAGTATTGTTCATCTTCTAAAATCGTACATTGCTACCGTATCTGAGTAAGACTCAAGCATAGGGCATTTACCATTTACTGTTCTGGGAGTATTATCTACAAACTGGATTTCAATCTCTGTTATTTATTGGAAAAATATTCCTATGAATTTATGATAATATGTTGGCATAGGTTGCTTACAATTGATAAAAGGTAAATTTAACAATTTTATGCTTATTGTAAATAAGTCAAAAAACCAAAGTCCCCATGTTTGTTGGTAATTAAACAAAATGAGTAGCATGAAACAAAGACTATGAATCTTGACTGGATGTAGTGGCTTACGCCTGTAATCCCAGCACTTTGGGAGGCCGAGGCAGGTGAATCACGAGGTCAAGAGATCGAGACCATCCTGGCCAACACGGTGAAATCCCCATCTCTACTAAAAATACAAAAATTAGCTGGGCATGGTAGCATGTGCCTGTAGCCTCAGCTACTTTGTAGGCTGAGGTAGGAGAATTGCTTGAACCTGGGATGCGGAGGTTTCAGTGAGTCAAGATCACATCGCTGCTATCCAGCCTGGTGACAGAGCGAGTTTTCATCTCAAAAAAAAAAAAAAAAAAAAGAATCATGTTATGTTTACAGACCACATGCCAGAAAATTACCTTCTGGGAAATATACGCCCCCAAATAAGATAGAATTGAATTTCCTTTTTTTTAAAGGTATACTTTGTATGACCTACTCATATCTGTGTTATTACCCATCTAGAGCCTTAAGAAAGGCCATTTCTCCTTCTGGGATTAAGTTTTCTTCTCTAAAATATGGAGGCCAAAGAAGTTCATCTCTAAAAGTTCCCTTACAGCTCTGCAGTTGGCTCTAATTTTATGACATGTGCACTAGAAATCTCCTTGGTGACAAACATGGGTTCAGATCCTAAGTTCCTCACTTATTAGCTTTTTAAGCCTCTAAAGGTTATATTTTATTGAGTGCTAATATTTTAATCTGTGAAATTGGATAAAAATACCACTCTAATAGAATTGTCTGAGGATCAAACGGGAGAATATGTGCTGCAAAATCATTAGCATATGAATAGTTGGTTAATAGGCATCCAATGCTCTGGTTTCCTACCCTTTCCTTCTCTCCTTTAAAATTCAGATCCATGTGTATTCTTGACTTGCAAATAAAAGAAATTAAAATAATATTTGGAAGATACTGTGAATAAGCAAAATTTATAAGATGTGGTCATTTTGAAAAAATTAATTTTTATCTCCCCAGCTTGGGAATGCCCCTGGGTTTCAATATAGCAGACAAAGCAGTAGTAATAAGTCAAACTAAATCAAAGGCTCCATATGACTTTGCAATTTAGCACTATTTATATATTCAAAGACAAGCATGGCACCACATGCATTAATAATAGTATATCACATAGGAACATAAACCTTCCACATATACTCAGCACTGGTTCTAAACTTTACAAAATCACATAAAATCAGTTTGGAATTTCACAACCTTAAGAAAGAAGAGAAATTTAGATTCACAAGAAACTTATTAAAATATTAAATGAAGATACTGAAAACTGTAGAGTTTCGATGGTTTAAACAGATTACCAGAGATTGCCTAAAATAACCCTAGAAACCTCTTTTCTCATTTGTGAGTCTATTAATGGGTGATGTGTTTGAATTTTACTGGGCACATCGCTTCTTGGCCTTTTGGCTAAGATCAAGTGAATTTTACTAGGCATTCTGGCCCCTGATGGATTAGGTAGAAGGATAGCATTCTAAAATTTAATCTTTCCTCTTTCTGCCCTTGGAAAGGCTGACATTATTAATTTCATTTCTAGTAATATCTGATTGAGGACTAAATGCCACCCATGCCCTTACTTCCAGTCAGTTGAAATGTCCTATGGAAGGAGATGTGAGCAGACTTACTTAGCTTTTATCCTGTATGTAATTTTACATAGAAGAGCTGAGTTTCTGACACAACCACACAGATTACCTATTGAAATGCTGCTCTACCTACTTCATATGGAACAGTATCTAAGTCCTCGAGGACAGCTAAGGGAACTTGTTACTGTAAAGGGACTCCCATTGTCTGCTATTTGTCCAGTAATTCATGAACCATTGGCATATTACTGGTTCCTTATTTATTACCACTGACAAATGCTTTCATAATACTGACCAGAGGCATTACACAGCTCACAAAAACTTTCCATATAAGAACCACGATGTTAAAACACAGCAGAGGCTATCAAACACAGTAGTAACAAGAATTTTGTTAGCTTCTAATGATAATCATTACTGTATCAGAATGCAATTCACACTATTATTAGTAAAAGTTTACAAACATTACAAAGTGCATAATAACATTTGTATCTGAGAGGGCTGAAAAAAGACATGAAAACACAACACCAGGGCTTTACTTTTGTGATTGGTGTCCACATGATTGCAAGGAGATTACTTTTTCCACCTTATTCAGCTTTGTGAAGATAAGTTGTCCTCCAAATTTAAATAGAATCATACAGCATTGTGAGAAATTTGATTCCATAGAACAAAATATTTCCAGTACTCAGTATGATCTTGGCTTTCCTTTACACTTTTCCAGTTGTCCAAAATTCTTATATACATATAGGTGTATATATTACATGTGAGAAGTTCTCCACTTGAGAATAAAACAAAATTGACAGATTGAATTTCAGTCTGTGCAGACACCAAACAGACTGAATTCAGGTAATATTCACATTTATGGATATTTTCAAATGTCTGTATAATAAAGCAATGGAGTCTTGATAAATCTGTTAGATTTAACTCATCAACATACAATGAGCAAGGGGAAAGACTGTTTTTAAAAAGTGTGTTCTATCCTGTGTACACCACCACAGTATGGAAAACTAAAAAAAAGAGACAGCCCTTTTAAAAATGATTGGTATAAAAATTCACAGTAATGTACATTATTTTGTTTTTCATAAGCAATCAGAGAAGGGGCAGTGCTGAGCATCTATATTGTACAATACAAAACAGTGTAAATAACACAGCAGTAACACACAGATACATAATGCTAAAAACAGTGCTTTCTTGATCTTTCTTTTACTGGGTGAACACTTGAGCCAGAGATATTTAAACTCTGGTGTTTAATCAACCCTTCGCAATTAGACACAATTAAATCCTCTGACATTGTGAGGGGCCAGATGCTACAGGAAGAATCATCATCTAGGTCGGTGCTACTCTCTATAAGCATTTCATCATATGATCAAGTGAAAGGATCCATACAAAAATGACGCCCAAACAAAAGCCACATGATTTCAACCATTGCTAATGACAGAGGTAGGGAAAAGTCTGCCTGCAGCCACACCCTCTGCCCTCATTTTTAACACGATAATGAGCAGGTTCCTGCAATGCAGCACAGCCATTTTCTTTTTCCTCTTTTCACTCATGGAAACAAATGCATTCCAGACACTCCTGGAGATTTGAGACATTGTCAGGTGTTGTCGAGGGTCAAAGTGGGATGTTAGCTTTCGGATTTTGCTGCTTCTCCCTGGGCTTCCCCACTTTGTTCTGTAGAACTCCGTTGTGCATCTTCTTCACCTTCTGCAAAAGAAAAACAAAAACAGAATAAAGGCAACATAAAAATTATTGCTTATATTTACCAACTCTCAATATGTCATGTTGGCAACTTCAGAAATACTAAAGAGGCCTGAAACCCTCATAGGGACAAGTATATTTCTTAGTAGTCAGTTCACCACTAAGAAAACAGCTTAAGTTTTCAAGGACTGATTAATTCTGTGAACTTGCAATAGCATGACTCAAAAACAAATAATATTCAAATTTTCAGAGTAGTTAGTGATCAGCTAAGCCTCGGATAAATAGCTCAGAAATCTCATGGGCAGTTTATGTCACTTAAATATACTTTCACAGGTTGCAGAAATCAGAAATATATTTAAGTAGAAATCAGAAGTGGCAGCATGTTAACCTTTTTATGCCTAATTGTCTTATTTGAATAAATAGTTTAAAACTGCATTTTCTGCTTTTTATAGCACTTGATGATAACCTAGCTAATTTCTCAGAGGTTCTCTTAGTTCAAAGTAAAAGCAGTATTGGGAAATAAAAAGACACTATGTCAGCTGGCCAGTCCCTTGTCACATAGTTATAATGGCCTCTGGTCTGCCCTTAGAGAACATGTGCACAATTCCAATAAAACCACCCTCATAACTGCACCCTTTGTAGCTATCTTATCCAGTGATATAATGAACATTAAACCTGAACAATGCTTTCACTCCATATTAGGTCACTTTATGTAAGTGCAAGCTGTTGGCATTTCTAGACTCAAAGATTCAAATATCTGCATGGTTATCAGACAACCAATATAGCTTAGTGGACAAAATGTTTTCTGGTGTTGCAATAATATAAATGAATCAATATTTGCTAAGTGCTTGTTATTATAATTCAAATGAAAGCAGGTAAGTGGGCTGGTCCATTCTTTAGACCATAATGTTATAATGCAGTTTCTCCTCTACTCTTAGAAAGTACACACAAAGCACCTCACCATACTCCCACAACGTTTAATCTTTAGGGAAATTAAAACCAATTCTTCTACATAAAAATATTTTCTTCTAGTAACTGTACCAAGGGTATGACCAGACATTATATCTGATTTTCATGCACTATTTTATTATGAGAGGCTCCCATGATGTGCAGATGGCCTGGTTCTGAGATGAGTAGATCAGCATGCAACAGGAACTTGATAAATAGAAGAAGCTTTCGGTAACCAAAGAAATAAAGTCAAATTAGGGCTTACTTAAGACAGTAGAATATTTAAGGATAAAAGAGATTGTATAAATACAAGATTGAGGAATTTGATTCTCATGGGGCTTGAGACCTTGTAGGTGTCTGGGGACACTTTTCAGAGCTTGGCATTACGCTGCAAACATAGAGGGTGTTGCTATATAGATACTGTTAAAAAATAAAGGTAAATGTGAAACAGCAATATTGCTGAGGATAAACTAAAATGAAGCTGAAAATTTACAAATTACAAAGGAAATTCCTTGCAATTCTCAGTGATGTTGAGTTTGTCATTACATATTTGTCTTTTTTTTATGTTTTAGATCTTCATATTATACAGTTATTATTTTTAGTTTTTTTTTGTACTTAGAATAAACATAGTTATTGCTTTTTATACTATGCCTGGTTTTGGACTTTATAATTTGAAGAGAAATGGAAAATGTTACAAGAGTCTAGTGAATTGCAATTAACATGCAAAAATGTTTAGAAAAGCAGACAATCAGAAGTTTAAAGATAACTTATTTTAAATTACTTAATAATATAATGAAAAAAGTTATTTATATTTATTAATACAAAATTTCAATTTATTTTGTAAATGATGTATAATAATTTAATATGTTTTCAGGAAAATTAAACAATCTTAGGGCTAACAATTCTCAACTTCAGGAAAAATAAAAAAAGCAGAACTTAAATTACACTATGAATAAAAATGTCTTAATATTAAGAGTGGCTAAAATTAATGCAGGCTATTTAAAGTAGCATATTTGTATGAAAAATAAAATATAGGCAGGGCGTGGTAGCTCACATCTGAAATCCCAACACTTTGGGAGGCTGAGTCGGGTGGATTACGAGGTCAGCAGTTCAAGACCAGCCTGGCGAAGATGGTGAAACCCCATCTCTACTAAAAATACAAAAATTAGCCAGGCGTGGTGGTGGGTGCCTGTAATTCCAGCTACTCAGGAGGCTGAGGCAGAAAACTGTTTGAACCAGGAGGTGGAGGTTGCAGTGAGCTGAGACTGTACCACTGTACTTCAGCCTGGGTGACAGAGCAAGACTCCGTCTCAAAAAAAAAAGAAAAGAAAATATAAATCTTATGAAAGACTTCAGGAAAAATGTATTTATCCATCTCATGTTACCAAATTGGAATAATTCCCTATACAGTCTATCTCAGAGCTGTTCTGGGAAGTAACTACTGGTGGTAATAATAGCACAACAATGAAACCTAAGATATACATAGGTCTACATATTCCAAAGTGGTGATGTTAAAGTTTTATTATTAATGTCAATTTGAAAAGACCAGTCTGGAACTACTAAGCTTTAGCCATTGAATAACATACTATCCTTATGTATGTTAAAGTAATGTTGCTGAGCCATTTTATTTATATATATATATATAATATAATATATACATATGTGTGTAGATATATAATATATATATTATATACATATGAGTATATATATGTATATTATACACACATGTATATGAGTATATATATATAATATATATGTATATTATACACACATGTATATATTATATATATATAAATGAAATGGCTAAAATGAAATGCTGAGCCATTTCATTTATATATAATTATAAAAATATATAAATTATTATATATATTATAAATATATATAATTATTATATATAGTATTATAAATAAATATATATAAATAAGTGTATATATAAATGTATATTGTGTGTGTACACACACACACACTCTTCAGTTTTCTAATAATCTAAAAGATTTGCCTTAAAAATTCTAACAGTGACGACCTATTGAATAATTAGGAGTCGGAATCTGTGATAAGTGCTTTCCATGCACATAATATCAGAGTTCTCTAATCATGAATTCTTTTTACTTTTAAAGGTTATTTTTATACAAGTCTTCTCAAGGAAACACATTCAGCTTTGATTATCTGCAAAAGCTATGGGTGGAGGAACTATCAAGGGACTTATTCTAATACTCAGAAGTAAAAATGTCAAGTATTTTAATCTGTCAGACTTGTTTTTCATTAACAAAGATAGACTCCTTGGGTAAGAATTCAAGGCCCATTAAGAAGACAAATTTTTCACAAACTCATTCTGTCTGGAAAGGGAAACCAAAAGGCCCTTTTACCTAAGACTTACTTACATAACAGATCACTTTACTTCCATTCTTAATAAAACTCGTCCTGGAGACTCTTTTTTTCTAAAATTGTTCTTAGAGTTGAAGTCTGTCATAATTACCTCTGAATCTATCTACTAAGTGTTAGTAAATATTAGAGGTGGCCGATAATGTCAAAGATAGGAGCTCCAACTTTGCAAAATACTGAACGTAAGCAATTTCAGAACTTTTATAGAAATTAGGATTTAAAAAAACACCATGTGTTTTATTGATTGCATTAATACAATCAGATTAAGGACTCTGCATTTGAGTGGGAAGCCTTCTAAAGAGACATCATTGAAAATAGAGCAGGAGTGATTAAGAAAGAGATTAGTCTCAGACTTTCATCTTGCCTTAGACTGCTTAAAACTCTTTATATTAGATTACTTTCAAAGATGGCTTTTAGTGTCTTAATCCCACTTAGTAAAATGCTGCAAATCATTCCATGCTCATAGAGAAATGTGTGCCAGATGACTTACCTGTCTTGTTGATATCAAGACCTGCTAATTTCAAGGCTAATTCATTGCTGTTGCCACTTGCAGAGGAAACCAGGATATCATGTATTGCATTTCTTCTACCTGTTCTTCCTGAAGCAATAAAATCTGCATATGTAGTTTCCACATCAGTCATTGCTACCAAATATCCACATAGCAGGGACTACAATAAAAAGAAAAATTAATAGGTAAATATAATGGTAGTTAATGCTAAACATTTAACAAAGACAACTGTTAAACTACTGGCCTAGTATACGAATGTGAAACACTTGGCCTGTTTACACGTTCACAAAACAAGTAATGCCTTTTCTGGTCCTAAGTATTGAGAATGAAGGTCTGGGAACCTTTAATGTACAGGATAGTGCATATTTAGGCTTTGAGGGTCATATGATCTCTATTCCATCTACTCAACCTTGTCCTTACAGTGCAAAAGCAGCCATAGCCAATATGTAAAACAAATATAATAAACAAATCAGGGAATGGGCCAGATTTGGCCTGCATGCCATAGTTTGTTGACATTTAGTTTATCTCTCTATTACCATTTTAGTCATTCTTCAACTCCAGAGAGGACTTGAGATCATGTGGGGGGCATTGAGTGAAAAGTGGTTCATCCTAGGGGTGAGCAGTAAGTGAGTGCATTGTCTGTATAGTCTGTTAATGCAATGGACCAAAATTCAGTTTTCTTTTTGTTACCACTATGATGTCATGCACCAGCAATTCTAAATATCTTCAGTGATCAAATACTTCTCCCAGTCCAGAAAAACAGCTCCCCATGTACCCCTTGGTAAGTCATTACTTGAGAGGAGTAACAAACACTCTTGATTAAATCTTGGAAATAAAATGTCAAAAGGTACAAAAACAGTGATTACTCAAAACCCTCTCATTTCTGTCATTAAAATTGCCAGCACTTTGGGAGGAAGAGGCGGGTGGATCACGAGGTCGAGATCGAGACCATCCTGGTCAACATGGTGAAACCCCGTCTCTACTAAAACATCAAAAAATTAGCTGGGCATGGTAGCACGTGCCTGTAATCCCAGCTACTCAGGAGGCTGAGGCAGGAGAATTGCCTGAACCCAGGAGGAGGAGGTTGGGGTGAGCCGAGAACGCGCCATTGCACTCCAGCCTGGGTAACAAGAGACAAACTCCATCTCAAAAAAAAAAAAAAAATTGCCATACTGCCCAAAGCAATTTATAGATTCGTGCTATTCCTATCAAAACCAATGACATTTTTCACAGAATTAGAAAAAGAAAAAGCATTCTAAAATTCATACAGAACCAAAAAAGAGCCCAAATGGCTAAAGCAATCCTAAGCAAAAAGAACAAAGCCAGAAGCATCATACTAGCCAACTTTATACTACAAGGCTACAGTAACCAAAACAGCATGATACTGGTACAAAAACAGACACAAATACCAATGAAACAGGTTAGAGAACTCAGAAATAAAACCACACTTACAACCATCTGATCTTCAACAAAGTTGACAAAAACAAGCAATGGGGAAAGAACTCCCTCTTAAATAATTGGTGCTGGGATAACTGGCTAGCCATATGCATATTGAAACTGGACCTTTTCCTTTCACCATGTACAAAAATCAATTCAAGGACTAAGTCAATTTAAATTGATCAAAGACTTAAATGTAAAACGTAAAACTGTAAAAATTTTAGAAGAAAACATAGGGAATACAATTCTGAACATAGGCCCTTGCAAAGAATTTATGACAAACACTCCAAAACAAATTGCCACAAAAGCAAAAATTGACAAATGGGACATAATTAAACTAAAGAGCTTCTGCACAGCAAAATAAACTATCAACAGAGTAAACAGACAAACCACAGAATGGCAGAAAATAGTCTCAAACTATGCATCTGACAAAGGTCTGATATCCAGAACTGACAAGGAACTTAGATAAACAAACAAAAAGCAAAGAGCCTCATTAAAAAATGGGCAATGGATACGAGCAGACACTTCTCAAAAGACGACACATATGTGGCCAAGAAGCATATGAGAAACTGCTCAACATCACTAATCATTCGAAAAGTGCAAATCAAACCTACAATGAGATACCACCTAACACCAGTCAGAGTGGCCATTATTGATAAATCAGAAAATAACAGACGCTAGTGAAGTTGCAGAGAAAAGGGAACACTTATACACTACTAATGGGAATATTAATTAGTTCAGCCCCTGTGGAAAGCATTTTAAAGATTTCTCAATAAACTTAGAACTACCATTAGATCCAGCAATCACATTAGTGGGTATATACCCAAAGGAATATAAATCATTCTACCATAAAGACACATACACATATATGTTCATCACAGCACTTTACACAATAACAAAGACAGGGAATCCACCTAAATGTTCATCAACAGTGGACGAGATCATGTCTGTTGCAGGAACATGGATGGAGCTGGAGGCCATTATCCTAAGTGAATTAATGCAGGAACAGAAAACCAGACACTGCACGTTCTCACTTATAAGTGGTAGCTGAAAATTTAGTACAAATGGACACGAAGAAGCGAACAATAGACAACAGGGCCTATTTGAGGATGGAAGGTGGGAGGAGGGTGAGGATAAAAAACTATCTATAGGAAACTATGCTTATTACCTGGGTAATAAAATAATCTCTACACCAAACCCTTCAAATATGCAATTTACCCATGTAACAAACCTGCATATGTACCCCTTGACCTTAAAATGAAAGTTGGGAAGTAAAACCAACAAACAAAACCAAAAACCACTTCATTTCTAAAATCCTGAATTTGGTAATTCCTCTGGCCACAGCCACCTTTTCTTTCTCTTTTCCTCTTGTACTCAGTGAACCAATTCTTTACACTAATGCTGTCTTTAATTCCTTGAACCACTTTATTTTAGTTTCCCTCTAGGTCTAGTCCTACGTGAATCAGTTACCCACTAGTTTTTGCAGTTTTTTTGTTAGCATCAAGAAGTCCCTTTGGTCTATTGTTATCTTTACTTTTGTACCTACACTTCACTGCTGGGAAAATACTATAGTATATTTTCTCTGATCTCAGTACTGGGTGGCTGAGTGTTACCAGAAAAAGTAATAAAATTGTGCCAACTGGCTGAACTAGAAATTTTGGACTCTATTATTAGAATACACTTGGATGGAGTTGCTCAGAAATTCTTCTGTTCACCTCCAGTTGACTCTTCCTTATGCTATTCTCTGTGGGAATGATTCCAAAGTCTTTCCAGTCTACACACCAGACACCACCTACCTTGAGAGATGACTCTGCATCTTCCTCTGAGAAGACAGGACATCTGTTACAAATTCTCTAAAGATTCTTCCTTTTTCAAACAACATTTTTCTGTATAACCACTATTCTTTCTTTTATGGAGAAATTGACCTTTCTTTTTAAGACACGCTATTGATTTTATTTACTTCCACAACTAATGCCATTACCCATTACCCATTAACATGACGCATGTTGGAGAATATATTTTCCCTAATTTCCCTCCCTTGATATCCATGTCTAATCACTTGCCAGGTCATATTGGTTTTTATTTGATGCAACTCATATTTAGTTCCTGTAAAACATGGGAAAAACATGGGAGCATGAACATCAACCAAATACTGAGTTTTTCCATTCCCTAAGTTTCTATGCATCCCAACCTATCTAAATGCTGTTATCTCAAAGGCCTTCCAGCCTGCTGCACAGCCTATGAAACACATTTTGAATTTTTTTATCATTTTTTTAAAGCTTTTCATGATCTGGAAAGGACTCGCTTTTTTTTTAGCTTCAACCACTTGCTATCATATTTGGTATGTTTTAGAATAATAAGAAATATTTTTCCAGAGCTTCTCTGCTGCTGTACTGGTTCAAGTTTGTTATACCACCTGTAAAAGTATTTCCCCAACAAACTTGCTTGTTAAAGTTGACTTAGCTCTCAAAACTCAGCCAAACATCATCTTCTCTTTTACCTCATCTCCCTGTCTCTTTAGCTAGCAATTTACAGGTTTGATTTGTACCCGTACAGGGCATTTAAATTCTAACTAGCGTTATAGTTACTTCTCCTTCTCAATAGATCTGTTGACTCTGACAAGGTCTATTGGCTCTGACAAGGCAGGAACTGCATTTGTTAGTATTTTAATCGCATACAATTTCTAGCAGAGTCCTTTGCATATGGCCAATGTTAAATAAGAATATGTTGTATAGAACTGATCAGTGAGGAAGAAATATATTAATTGCATTACATCAGTGGCCACAGAAAACTTTCCTGCTTCCTGATTGTACTACATTACTAAAAACTAAAAATTCATCCACTTCAGTCTAGAAGTTTTTATAGATGAAGAACCTGAGGACCAGATAATTCAAGTGTTCTGACCATATTCACATAGTTAGTGAAGTAATCTGCCCATAGTCACAGAGTTAATGGATTAAGTACTTAAAACTTAAGTCTGCAAAGTTTCTGCCCATGCTTTTTACTTTATCAGGCAGCCTGTCTATGAGTAAGTCGGAGTTTGAATAAAGTTTTTGACCTTGGAGTAATTCAGTGTTATTAATTGTAAAGATATTTTCATTGTAGCTGCATTACCATTAACCACCACGGTATTTGGTTTCTGCATTACTTCAAAGGTTTAGAACTGAACATGCACATCAACCTAGCAAATACATCTTATACATATTTAAGGACAGGTGGAGTCCCAAGATATATTCAAGCTCTGTTCACAATGATTTTCACTCTTAGCCTCATTTTATGGCTTTTAAAAACATAGGCTTTAATAAAACGCACAAGTGCTATTATTTCTCATCTGATTAACAATGTTGTAAAGTAGGAAAACAAATCCTCATTTTTCAGATGAAGAAAATAAGTCTCAGAGATTTTAAGTAATCACTAAATCATACATATAACTATGACTTAAACTATGTCTTTGTGTTTTGTGTTAAAGGGCATTCTACTTTGAGGTAAAGATTTCTGTTTTTTGCCATTATCATTTCTAAATGCAGACTGCCATAATAATACATGTCTTTTTGGGGTTTATATCTAATTCTCATTGCTGAAAATAGTTTTTAAAAGATATGAAATATCAAAATGAGGCAAAGAAAAGTGGTAAAATTTTCCTTGAAAAGATACGTATTAAAAGAATGTGTCTTGTGCTATGATTTATTGATTTGGGAATTTTAAAAGACCTTGGTAGCAATT